GGTCGTCTGTTTACATCCATCCATCTATCTTCTGTAAGATTCAAAGCTGCTGAAGGGTAGAAACCATTCATTTCCACCAACGTCTTTCCCAGCCACTAACATAGATCTCTATTAGTGGGTTATGTGTTGGGCTACTAACCTGTATGATCAGCAGTTTAAACCCACCAGCTACTGCACAGGAGAAAGCTCAGGGTCTCTACAGAGTTTTCTACTCTGCCCCATAGGGTTGCAATGAGTAGGCATCACCCCAATGGCAGTGTGTTTCTATAAGACGATAGAATCTGGTGCCCTAGTGGTGCAGTGGTGAAACAGATGCGAACTGTAGGGTTGGCCTTTCAAATCCACCAGTCATTCCTCTGGAGAAAGATATGGAAATTTGCTTCTGTAAAGATTTCCAGGAGCCCTTAGGCCAATTCTATTTTGTCTCACAGGGGTTAGTGTGGCAGAATGGACTTGTGCAGTAGGCTGGTAGTACAGAATCTAGCACAAAGAGTTGGGGTTTGCTAGTAAATATAAACCAAAAATTCAATCTGGTTTAACAATTTAATATAGATATTTAGGATCTTTTCAGAGCCCTTTAACATTCTTTTTTTAAAATCATTTTATTAGGGGCTCATACAACTCTTATCACAATCCATACATACATCAACTGTGTAAAGCGCTTTGTACATTTACCACCCTCATCATTCTCAAAACATCTCCTAAGGCCCCCCCGCCCCCCCTCCCACATTAGGTCCTCACTTTTCCCCACCCTCTCCGTTACCCACTCCCTCAAGAGCCCTTGATTAATTTATAAATTGTTATTTTGTCATATCTTGCCCTGGCCGACGTCTCCCTTCACCCACTTTTCGGTTGTCTGTCCTCTCCTTTAACATTCTTATTGCTTTAATCTGCAGGCTATTCTGTAACGCTAGTTTTCAGACAGGCAAGAGAGAATCTGCTTTTTGGAGATCTCTCATGGACAATGCATAAAATACTGTGGTGTGTAATGTGCAGCACAAAATCAGGGTCGCCATCTCATGGGGTTTACAATAAAGTATGGGGCAGAGAAGTGTCCATATGGGCAATGGCTAAGGAGGTTGGAGAAGGACTCAGCAAATTAATACTGAGGCTGGACTGTGATGAGCAAGCGGAAAAGTACCTTTCTAGGTCAAGCAAAACAGAATGAGCAAAAAGATTGAGGTGTAAGATAAATAAATGCCTACTGTACATTTAAAAAGGCCTCCAGGTTATAGATACAAGCATTCTGAAAGAAAATGGGGTGGGGAATCTGACCCCCCTAACTATGAAAGCTGCAAAGACAATAAATACATGGTCTATGTCTTTCCTGTCCTTTTCTCTTAGTGACAAAGTATTCTTGGGTACATCCTCAGCTGTTCTACCACATGGCAGCCTATGGGATAAATCAATGCACTGACAAGGGATCAACCAGTCATTAAAAGATACAGTAAGAATAGCTGACACCTAGTCAGCCTTTACTCCTGTATTTCCTCATTCAATCCTCAGGAACTGGAGGAAGTGACATTAACATTACTCCTACTTTATAGATGAGAAAACTTAGTCAGATGAAATAAATTGCCTCAGTCAGGTGACAACAGTCAATGACAGCCAGTCAGATCAGCTGTCTAGCTCCAGAGTCTGGTCCGGGAACTACTCTCTTTCTTCACACACCGAAATTTTGGTATCAGTATAATACATATACACTTGTGCTTTAAAAAACAACAACACAGTTTTCTGTATTATGTAACATTGGTTTTTACAATGACTGAGAGTTATTGTTTACTGATATTCCAGTGACTAAAAAGTATTGGTACTAAGGTTCAAGTTACAGACTTAGGAATTTATTCCAAACAATGAAAGTTTCAACATGTCTATGACCATACATACAAGTTCTCTCAGAAATACACTTCTCAGTCCCTTAGGGAGGGGTCTTCAAAAGATGGTTCAGTTAACAATGGCTTCTGAGGGGGATCTGCTGAGCCACGTAAATTCAAGGCAGAGAGATCCACTCAGACGGTATGGCAATTATGACACTTGGTATCACAATAATACAATAGGTATTATTTGGGAATACAAAGGGGTCTTGATAAAAATTTTCTTGAAGGACACAAGACCATCCCTGGGGCTTACTAGAAAGAAGCTCTTAGAGAAAAGAAAACTGTATTGGTGAGAAAAAGGCCAGTAAGGTTGCACAGAGGAGATATTCTCCATCTTGACAAGGCATCTGTTCATCGTAAAGGTAGTACGGGCCATTTTAAGAGAATGTGTTGGAAAACCTTACTCCAACCCCTACAGCCCTGATCTTACTTTCAGACTTTTTTTTTGTTCTGCAAACTTAAAAGAAATTTAAAAAGAACACGACTTGAGTTCAAAACTTCCATTTTGACGCAGTGTAAATCAGAGTACAAAGTTTTCTGGGTTAGAGGGGAAACAAACACTGCCTTTAGAAGTGTACAGGCTTAGGTGATGTGCCAAGAAACAAAAGCTTCATGATGAGCTATTAAATTATATTAAGTGTGAATTGCATGTCAGAAAAAAAACTTTTTAAAAACAGCTTCACACTTTTATATTCTTGACATCATGGTACTTTTAATTGCCTCCTATGCATGTGAAAGTTAGACATTGAATAAGGAAGACCAAAGAAGAATTGATGCATTTGAATTATGCTGCTGATAAAGAATACTCAAAATACCACAGACAGCCATAAGAACAAACAAATCTGTCCTGGAAAAAGTACAGCCAGACTGTTCTTAGAGGCAAGGCTGGTGAGACTTCATGTATAAGGAGAGACCAGCTCCTGGAGCAGGACGTCATGCTTGGTAGAGTGGAGGGAAAGTGACAAAGAGGAAGCCCTTGACCAGATGGACTGACACCGGGGCTGCAATAATGGGCTCAGACATAAGAACAATTGTGAGGACGGTGCAAGGACAGGGTGGTGTTTGTTCTGTTGGACACAGAGTTGCTATAGAGTTGGAATCAATTGGACTGTACCTAGCAGCAACAACATGATTTTGTAAAAATGCTTTTCTACTTACTCTCATATACCATAAACATATATCATTCCTTGTGACTGTTAAGTGTTTGTGCTAACTTTTTCTATTTTACTATGTTATAAACTTGAAGCACATGATATAATGATGTTGAACAGTATCTTTAGTTGTTAGTCTAGTTTTGTTTTACTTGCATACATTTCGTACAGAATTTATATTTCTGAACAGTCCTATGTATACATTATTAATTTTTACGACAGGTCTATTTAAAACAGAGTATATACTTGTGTGTAGGAAAAAAAAGTAATCTCCAAGTCAAGAGAAGCCATCAAAATGGGGCAAGGGTCTTCAGTGTCGAAGACGGAACTCATGGGTAAGAAAATTATAAAAACATATAAAAGTGACTGCAAAAAACGGGATAATGATTAATTCTGAGGGGAAGGAGAGGGTTGTAATTAGGTATGCACTTGGAAGGGCTCCTGGGGTTTTATCATTTAACCTAGAAGGTACTTTCCCCCCTTATTTATTTTATTTTAATAAATCATTTTATTGAGGGCTCTTACAGCTCTTATAATAATCCATATGAGGAGATGATAGCAAAGGCTCAAGTAGAAAGCAAATGTTTTGAGAATGATGATGGCAACAGATGTACAAATGGGCTTGACACAATGGATGTATGGATGGATTGTGATGAGTTGTGCAAGTCCATAATAAAATGGTTTTTAAAAATCCATACATCAATTTTATCAAGCACATTTGTACACATGTTGCCATC